CTCCTGAACTAACCCAAGTATTATTGTTCTATATCTCAATTCACCTTAGCTTAGCAATCAAATATCAATAAAGATTCAATTAGCACTTAGGTGCTCAGCCAGGAGAGGCCTCTTGAAGAGTGTTTGATGGAGCACGGACATGCAGGCATTGAACAGTGAGTGACTAAAGTGCAGAGATCTATGAGTCACCATAAATGTGTGCTTTGTGTTATCAGCTTGGATCAAACTGACATCATGGAGGTTAGTCATAGTCAAGGAGAGTTACCACAGGGGCTGTAGGCACAGAACAGCAGTGGGGGAAGACTCTTGGTAACCGTTCTGTAGACTAGATAGATTCTCTGGTCACATCAGAGCAAAGGAATGAAAACTCCTGTCACCAAAGACAGCCAAGCAGTTTTTTCAGTGAGGATGAGAGAACTACGTGTGCTCTAAAACTCTATTAAATACATTTCTGGTGATCTTTGCTTGACTGACACACTCAGATACGTATATGACTAAAGCAACGTGTCTGCCGCAAAAGACCACATATTACTAAGTCTTGGGTGAAAACAGCAAAATGATAAAATGGCAGGTGCTCTGTGAAATGTATGTGTATATTTAAAGCTTATTTTACTTGTTTGAAAAGAAAGAATAATGAGCTTACCGTGGATTTACTTAGGTGGTATAATTATTATGATACATGTACATATGTTTTTTGTTTTTTCAGGATTACAGAGTTAGTCACATTGACTTATTTACTGAACCAGAAGGGTTAGGAATCCTAAATTCCTACTTTGACGACACTGAAGAAATGCAGGGGTTTGGTATAATGCAGAAGACTTGTTCCATTAAAGTACATTGGGGCACGTAAGTACTTTATTTTAAATACAATTTTAATGAAGCTTTCTTTGTGAGTGTTGTACTGGAGAGACTTAACATACTCTCTGATTTGTTGTCCTGTTAAGTAATTATTGACTAAAAGGGTTTTTTTTAAAGGCACATAAAATTCTGTTTCTTTTGTAGCTATGTTACTATGATTCAGCTCTTACAAACAATGATTTCTTGGAGGAAGTGCAGGGGAAAAAAAACCGCATTTTTAATGGAGGCATTTCCTTATCACAGGGCAACCTGATTCAAAGCTGAGTAAGAGGTTTTTACCTTCATGGTAATTCAAAGCATGTACCTTTGATATTTCAGGCAGGGTGGAGGCCAACACACATGGTACTTCCTTTGATTTTCACACAATGCTTTCCACAGGCCCTGGGATGTTGGTTTCACAAATCACAGGAAACTGCAGAAGTATTTTGAAGGAAATGGGAATGTCTCAGCTAGAGGAGAAATTAGGACAGAAAGTGCAGGCTGCAATGCTGAANTATAATTCTATCATTTCTAAGTAGTCTTCAGTTCCCAATTTATCATGTGTCTAAAATTATCATGTATCATATTCAAGCTAAAATAAAAGACTATAAATGAAAAAACAACAAAAACCATGCCTAACATGGAAATTCAGCTTTTAGACCACCTCTGTGAGAGCCTGCTCTAGACTGCCTTCCTCATGTCTTCATCTGCATTGTTGGTCATTTTAGAACTGTCTCAGTGTAAATTAAACCTTGTGAGGTTCAATGGTTGACCATAAACTGCCATGTGTGATGTAAAAAGGTAATGTATCAGTAAAAAACTGTTTTTCTGTGTTATTTTCTTTTCAGGGTGGCCGTAAAGTTGAGTTCCCTACAGATCCAAAGGTAAAACTATATATTTTTAAAATCTGATTCCTATTCTATTTCCAGAAGATACTTGTGTGATTTTACATATCAACCCCCATAAAACATAACTGCAGCCAAAGGAAGTTGTCCCTACTAACACTTGCCATCCTTCAGGCTGGAAAATGACGCTAATAGCACTAGTTGTCACTAAAGCATGTGTAGCCATGGCTCAGAAGGTTCATTGTTGTATTATGTTGATAATTTATAGTTGTATATACTAATTTCAGGGCCTGTTGCTGCTTGCCAGTGAGCAAGAGAAAAACTTTCTTTCAAGACAAGTTCTCCGTCCTCCAAAATGCTCTTTCTACTCCGGACATCAAACTCTAGTTTAATCTGTAGCTTGTTTCATTTTTAAAGCCACTTTAAATCCTCTGGTTCTTTAATTTGGCCTAAGCAAAATTCTAAATGTCAATTCTAGACACTGAAACAAAAGCGAGTTATTTGTAAATTATCTTTTGGACCTTGGCTTTGGGCTATGCCACATCAGGAAAAAAATCCTGATTTTTAAAATGATCAGATACTGTTATTTAGTTAACTTTTAAAAATAGGACATTTTAATTTGTTTTCTAGGACTTAGTGATATTAAATGACTGATTTAATGTTTAGCTATTGATATTTCACTTCTTAAAAATTACTGGTCTATCTCATTCTGTTACAGGTAGTGATTTATGAAAAGCCTTTCTTTGAAGGAAAATGTATGGAACTGGAAACAGATATGTGTAGTTTTATCATGGAGGGAAGTGAAACAGAAGAAACGACTGAAGATGAACATTTCCCATTGATGTCAGTGGGATCTATGAAAGTTCTAAGAGGCATGTAAGTAGTTAGGCATAACCTGTATTAATTTCTTTAATAAAGTTTATTACTTTAATAAAGTAATAAACATGTCCCCGCCCCTCACCCCTCCCACCCCCTAAAAAAAATCCAGATTGTATTGGGTTGTCGGAAAAGTCATGACGCATTTTTGCAACGAAAAACAGAAAAAAATAAATCATGACTTTTCTGACAACTCAATGGTAGAGTGAATTTCAAACATATTCTCTTCAGCCAATTGTGACCTGGATTTGATACCTATTTCAGGGCCTGGCTTGGGTCAGTCAGCTGAGCAAAGCTGATAAATTGGCCCATCCAGATTAATCAAATCTGCAATCTTGTTTATTAATATTATGCTCCAAACTATTCAACTGTTAGTTTGCTGCTTTGATGATATTTTACACTTTATGGGTCTTACATATTTCCTTTGGAAGTATGCACTGAAAATGGTATTGTAAATAGCCAAAAATATAATATTTTAGTTGCTATTTGAAGAAAGTTTATTCAGTTTTATTTACTGATGTTCTTTTGAGTCAGTTCTTATTAAACACACATACACGTGTGTACACACACACACACACACACACACACACACACACACACACACTGACTCCCCTATACTCCATTTATGTGTATTTCTTAGATTTTTTTTTCTTGGGGCCATTATGTTTGTCTCTTAAATTTTAGAGAAGAATTCCAATAGTCATAACAAATAAGTCCATGTCTATCTTTATAACTATTTGTATTTGTCAATGAAACTGATACATACATTGGAACAAGTTTAACACTCCTGACAGTTACTGCTTCTTCATGTTCTTTCTGTTGCAGTTGGGTTGCATATGAAAAGTCTGGATTTACAGGTCATCAGTATTTGCTTGAAGAAGGAGAATACAAGGACTGGAAAGATTGGGGAGGTTACAATGGAGAACTTCAATCTTTACAACCTATATTAGGTGTAAGTTAAAGAAAAGCCAATGGCTAGTATTTGGTCTTTTTTTGGATAATAAATGGCTAGCCTTTGAATTTTGATTTTCTTTTTTTCTCAATAGGATTTTTCAAATGCTCACATGATAATGTACAGTGAAAAAAACTTTGGATCCAAAGGTTCCAGTATTGATGTATTAGGAATTGTTGCTAACTTAAAGGAGACCGGATATGGAGTGAAGACACAGTCTATTAATGTACTGACTGGAGTGTAAGTGAAATAACCCAGTCGGGATTTTAAACATGGGTTTCACCTTGGTTGTGTTAAACTAATAGATTCTCTGACAGAGTAGGCACTGAAGAAATGAACAGCTCAACAACTCAACATTAAACAATCATCTAATATGTACTGCCTCAATAGTTTCATAATCGCTTTCTAAAATCTTTTGTGTATAAAATCTTTTTTCATGTGTAATATAACATTGGGTTAGGCTTTTGGGTTTCATGATAGAAATCTACAAATCCACTTCCTTTGTCATTCTGCTTGGAAAGATCTCATGGATTTCTCATGATGGGAGTAATAATAATCGTGATTTAACATTAGAAACCTGAGGTTGGGACAAAGTTTCTTTCCATTTTCCTACCGACTTCTACCTGCTCCATTGTATTTCTTCACCATTATTTTGACATATAAATAATTGTTTTAGTGTACCTGGAGTTAGCAATTGAATGCTAAATTAAGTTTTTTATTGAAAGATGGTTAGTCAAGACTGTTTGGGATACAGGTGACTACAGGCCAACCAAAATTGGCTTACGTGGTAAAAATGGTATTGGCCTACATAACTGAAAAGTCTTGGAGAAGATTTTGCTTCTGTCATGGCTGGATACAGGGGTTCGTTCAGACACGGTCATGAGAACTTGGTCTCTCTCTGTCACTTGACAGGGTTTTTTTCCGTGTTGGCTTCATTTTACGCAGGCCCCTTCCGTCTGCTGGCCTGTGGCAGCATCGTGGGCTTTGTTCTTCCCTCTCACTACTTCTAGTGCAAAGAGATCCTCTTTCCCACAAAAGTTTCTGGTTTGACCTTGATTCTGTAGGCTTGAGTCATGCACAGTGCCTGAATCAATCACTAGCCAAAGACATGGCCTTGCCTGTGTTATGTGCCCATCTCTGGAGCTGAGATGTGGGGTCAGTCCCTTAGGAGCCACTTACATATGATGGGGGTGAGTAGTTCCCAAGGCTTATCAGGAAGAATTGGGACAGATACTGGATGGGCAGAAACAGATGTTTATTAAAAGGAGTTATATAATTATTCTTATGATCCAGGCCAATGTCAGTTATAATCTGTTATAAGTGAGAATATTCTTNGTTTAAGAACAAATTAACAAGTTAAAAACCAATTTTTCTTGTGTGACTCCAAGGGTATTTCTAAAGGAATAATTATATAAATGCTTTTAATAGATGTATAGATGGACATTGTTATTACTGAAACAATATTCATTAGTATGCATACATTTGTTAATTCATAATATAGGCAAGAGCTCGTTATCTAAGTACATTGGAAGATAAAAGAGTGCCTTTAGAAACTGAAATAACACTGCCTGAAGTGACTTTCTCCCTCTCCTGATGGCCTCATGAATAATGTATCTTGTTGGAATAGAATTTAGGAAAAATGAATCACTATCTGGTTGGAATAGAATTTAGGAAAGATGAATCACGCTCCGTAAGTGAGGTTTCAAATTCCAAACTCCACCCAACATTCTCAGCTGCCTGAGTTCCCAGCAGGCCCTTCGCACTCACGAACCGAGGAAATAGTCTCAGAACAGCAGCCTTTTCAAGTGTGTCAGTTCGTGTTCAGTTTTTTTTAACCAATTCCCCTTTACCCAAAATGATCTTGCTTCTATAAGTGTTAGGTCACTACATCACGTGCTTCAAGGAAAGTGAAATGTTTAGTATCAGATGAATAAATCCCTTCAGAATAAACTCTAAAAGGAACGATTTAATGAACGGGTACTTCAGTCAGCATTATTTCAAAATCTCAGAATCACTTGTTTGTGAGCCATTCATTGTGTTTATGAAAAATTCAGCCCATTCACTCGTGAAGTGTCAGACTTCCAGGCCCTTGACTTGTTAGCATAATAGCACAATTTATGACAAACTGCCATTATTTACTCAGGGCATGAAATGTGTGGTGTGCTTGTGAGAGCTTTGAGCTCCAAAAAATAGGTAATGCACCCTTAACTGTCAGGCTTTAAACGTAAGAAGGTTTAAAGGACCCCACTCTTAGCCTCTGTTTTCTTGTGGTTTAGGAGCATGGCAGTGGTATTTAAAAGATAAGCCTCTTTTTTCCTTATTTTTTTATTTGACTATATGTATGTATGTGT